GAGAGAGAGAGAGAGAGAGAGAGAGAGAGAACCCACCAGAACTGGCCTGCCAAGGACCCTCTGGAAATGGGGACAGGGGGGATGGAGAGAGAGGAGGTGGGGAGGAGGTCGACCCACAGCCAAGCCTGAGGGCGCCTAAGGCCCCCTGCTGCCCCCCAACCAGCTGGGACGCCCTGCAGCTGACTGGAGGCTTCTCCTGTCTCGCCGACCCAGTTCAGGATGAGGATGATGGTGGCTGGAGGGGTGGGGAGGGGAGACGAGCAGAGGAGGAAGGGCCCATGTGGGGAGAGAGCGAGAAGGGGCGCATGGCAGCCGGGAAGGACAAGCGTCATGGCCAAGAAAGGGATGCCCACAGACAGACAGCCATGCGGCGGGAGGAGAGCAAGTGATGGCAGCATGCTGAAACCGCAGAGAGACACGCGTGCACACCACACGCACACACACACATATGACACACGTGACCTGCAGGCACCCCGCTGGGGACTCACCATCCTCGGTGGGGATGTAGATGTTGAGGTATAGACAGTCCTCGTTGGGGTCCTGGATGTAGGTGGCCACAATGTCCAGGTTGGAGGTGAACCAGATGGGGAGCATAATCTCGGGCACGGCGGTGTGGATGTTCTGCGGGCACACCGGGGGGAAGTGGGTGGCATTCCGGATGCCCGACCAGGACTGCGGAGGCTCGGGAGGCAGGAAGCGCTTGTCCCCGATGGGAGGTGCGGCGTAGGGCACCCCCAGGTACTGGTCCACCGGCCCCAGGATCTCGCTGGGCAGGGGCACGCGCACCCCGCGGAGCTTCCCGTAGTGAGTGTTGACGGTGGGCGAGTAGGCCTGGCTCTCCATCCGCACCACGGCCGAGGCGAAGCCCAGGATCCAGAGGGCCAGGTGCGCGCCCCACCCGGCTGCCCCCTTGGTCGCTTGCGAGAAGGGCGGGAGGAGAAGCGGGCATTGGCACAATAGTTGCCACATGGTCTGGGGAGGGCAGCGCTGGGCAGCGGGCCGCAAGCAGATGCAGGGGGCTCAGAGAACCCTCCGAGGGGGAAGGAGTCCGGGGGTCGGGCAGGAGCGGTGGCAGCCGAGGGCCAAAGTCCCACAGCTCAGGAACTCTTCCTCTCTGCGGGTGCAGTTCCTCGGAGACAGGTGGTCCTGCGAAGAGGAGATTGGGGGGGGGGGAAGCAGGTTAATAGGGACCACTTTGGAGGGGGCGAAGCGCAGCCACACCCAACAAGCCCTCCCTTACAGAAAGAGATGCCAGGTTAACAAGCCACAAGTCAGGCGTCTGATTCTTGGGGAAGACTCAGAGCCCCAAGGATAGGTTCCTCTCTCCACCCCATCTAGAGGGCCACCTCTGGGCTGCAGGACCTCCTCTACCATGGTCTAGGCTGAGGGCTTCCTAGGACCAACATCTCCCAACTGGGGGACACTGGGACCGGATCTTCTCGAAGCTGCTGGGCTTGATTGCAAGAGGGCTTCCCTCCCCACTTAGATCTCACAGGTTAGGTCTCCTCCGGATNGGGACAAATCTCAGGGCCCAGTTTCCTCTTCCTTGAGAAGAGCTGCCTGGCCCTGCGCCCCTCATACGGTTGGGGGGCAGACAGCCCAGAGAGGCCTCAGCCATACCCACCGCATGCCTGGGGGTGGTGGTGGACATTTCCAAAAGCTCAAAAGGAAGTTGGTACCTCCATGCCGGGTCCTTGGTGAAGGAATAGCAGAGGGGATTTAAGGATGGCATTTGGCATGAGGGGCTGTCCGTGCTGAAGCTGCTGCTCCGTCATGGGTGGCACCGAGACCCTTTGGGAGGAGTAAGAGTGGGCGCAGATCCAGCGGAGGCTCTCTGCCTGCCCCTCTCCACTCCTGCCCAGGGGACCAAGGCTGGCCCGGAGGATGGGGAAGAGCTCCGGAAGGACAGCTGGGGCAAAGCAGACCCAGCAGTGGGGAAGGAGGATGGAGGCGAAGGGATTCCAGCTCAAGGGAGGAACGGGAGGTGGCGCTGCAATTCGGCCCCCGGTGCCAGGCAGAGGGGGGGGAGGCAGGGAGGAGCCCAGCGCATGCCCATGCTGTTGTGTATCTGCTTAGGGGACCCAGTGGCAGGGAAAGGGCACACATCGCAGGGGGGGTCCCTACGGTGGGGCAAACCACTCCCCTCTTGCAGAGTCTGGGGCTGGCTGGAGAAGCCAGTCGGAAGCAGGGCATCCTCAGCCTTCTGCCCGCTGGCCGGTCCTTTCCCGGAAGTGCTGAGAAGGAAGTGGGCAGAACCGCCTTCCACGTGAGGCCAGTTGGGGCAGGGGAGAAGGGAGCTCTCTTTCCTCTGCCCCCTAGGGATAGGCAACCGATGCCAGCCAGGGCAGCCGTGCCTAGGTGGGAATGCCACACATATACCCCCAAAAAGAGAGGGGGTACACTCCCAGGGGACTTGCCAGAGAGCCCTTCTGAGTCAATAAGCCCCCCGCCCTCCATCCTGTTGTGGCATGGGGCAGGCCAGGCGCCCCCTGGCGCTCACTCTCTCACTTGCCTCTCTCTGTGCCCTCTGCCAAGACCCCCCCCGCCTCGCTACCTACCTCCTTTCCTACATATTTTCTTGTTGGGTTTTCGGGCGCATTCCTTGGAAATCCGCTTTACTGTAAAATGAATAAAAGACTACAAAATAACAGGAGGCCCCAGAGGAGGGTGTGGGCATGCAACCCGTCCTTCTCCCCCCCCTCTCCAGCCCCCACCCCACCCCCCCCTTGGGGCTGGCCACAGGGAGGGCAGAGGGGAGCAGAGCAGCAGCTGCTCCGGGGGCGGGGGGCGGGATGGGGGGCCGTCGCTGGAGGCCAGGAAGGGTGCAGGAGAGGAGGGCGTGTCAAGCGTGAAGCTCCCTCCTCCCCGCCCGCCCGGGGTGGGGCCCTGCTTCCCCAGTGCTGCTGCCGCCGCCGAGGAAGAGGCTCCCCTCAGCAGGGACCCCCTTGTGGTGAGGCCGAGTTGGCTGGGGAGGGGGCTACTTACAGTTCCAACGGGAGAGCCCTGGAAAGGAAGGGTTAAGGGGCTCGGCCTCACCACAAAGAGCCCCCCTCCTGCTCCGGCTGCCCCCCGCTAGCCCAGGCCCTCCTCCAACCAGACCAACCAGTGGTACCCTGCTAAGGCTGAGCTCAAGGACTGGGAGAGGTTTGGAAGAGGAAGAGGAAAAGAGAGAGAGAGAGANGCTATTGCTATTCTTGCTTTTCATGAAATCCACCATCACTCCAGAAATACTTTTAAGAATTCTAGAGAAAGAGCAGCATTGCAAAGGCCCCATGATACGGCATTGCTCTCCTCCTGCTCCACTTGGAAACACTTGAGATAGCCAATGGGCATGTGTGAATGTGAGCTCCACTGAAAACGGTTTTTTTTTTAAATCATACCAAATAAATAATCAAATGAAAACTTCAATCCTTTTTTATCTTTTTCTCAGGCCTTCCCAGCCCCCCTTTATCTGGATGCGTCAGGAGAAAGTAAAAAAAGAAAAATAGAAGTAATTGATTTTTTCAAACTGGAGCAATCGGATTCGCACCTCAGCAAGTCATTTTCCTCAACATTTAGCTGGATCTTGAGAAGGTAAGATACATACACCCACAAATGGCTGTTGTCAAAGTGTTTTAATTCCAAGTGTTTGTTTATGTTTCGGGGATTTGCATGTGTATTCACTGGGTGTGTCCCATATATAAATAAGTCACCAAGACACTTTGATGGGCTCAGGAACAATGTGGAACTAGATTCACTAAGAAAAGAAAGGAATGACCCTTGATAGCCTGTGAAATGTTTCTCCAGGAAGTAATTTAATGTATGCTATGCCTTCTCTCTCCCTTCCTTTAGAAGATTTTTGCTAGGAAAAGATGATTCTGACTGTGAAGCAGTGTTTCTCAACCTTGGCGACTTTAAGTCCTGTGGACTTCAACTCCCAGAATCCCCCAGCCAGCTGTGCTGGGGGATTCTGGGAGTTGAAGTCCACAAGACTTAAAGTCGCCAAGGTTCAGAAATACTGCTGTGAAGGGTTGGGCGAGAGGCCTGCGGTTTGACGTGGCCATGCTCTATCTTTGAAGGATCTCTCCAATTTCACTTGCTTGGGAACTTCCATTTGGAGAAAGAAATGGGAACAGGGGAAATAGCAATAGCACTTAGATTTATATACTGCTTTTACAGCCGTCTCTAAGCGGTTTTTACAGAGTCAGCCTATTGCTCCCAATAATCTGAGTCCTCATTTTACCCACCTCAGAACGAAGGAAGGCTGAGCCAATCATGAGACTTAAACTGCCGAACTGCTGGCAGCCAGCAGCAGTAGCCTGTAGTACCGCATTCTAACCACTGCGCCACCATGGCTCATGGGACCACATGTAGGGGTCTACCACCTCAAAACACTGCAGGAAGTTAGCACCCATCCCACTCCTAGAAAAATGAAATATTTTTAGGAAATATTAAAAGGGCAGAATATTTCTCCTAAAAAGAAATAGAAATAGAAACTCCCCTCCCCCCTACATCCTTTGTTAATGGGCCATTAAGGCCTGAGACAGTCTATTCTACATAACAAAGATCTACCCCATTTCATTGCCCTTCATTGCACCACCCGCCAAACTTAGCACACAGACAACATACAAAGCTAGCTGACAGCAACCAATCAGGATACTCTTCCTAGTGGAGGAGAGGTAAGGGAAGAAGAAAGAGGTAAGGAGAGGTGGGTGGAAGGGAGAGAATGAGAAGGAGAGGAGGGAGGATGGGAGAGAAAGAGAAGGCGAGAGTGTAGGAAGGGGAAGAGAGAAGGTAAGAGTAGGGGAGAGGTAAGGGAAGAAAGAAGGGGAAGGTGAGGAGGAAGGAAGGAAGTAGAGAAGGAAGGGAGAGAGAAGAGAAAAGAAAGAGAAAATAAGGTGGTGTCCATCCCTCTCAGGAGTCCCCACGCAGCCCATTTTGGACACAAGTGCAGAGGGTATGCGGAGGCTCAGGGAGGGTGAAAAATGGGCCTATCGGAAGTTCAGAAAGGCCGGAAAATTGGTCCGTTTCCAGCCTCCGGAGCCTGGGGAGGGCAAAAATACCTCCCTGCCGTGCTGCAGGAGGCCGTCTGGGCCACGCCCACACCCATTGCAGCAAGCGGAGAGAGAACCCCTTGCTAAAATTTTTGAAGCCCACCCCTGAAACCTAGGTAGAGTTGCAATGGATAGGAAAAGGCAAGAAACCGCACAGTAGGAGGAAGGAGACGTACAAATGAAAGATTTTGCAGACATTCAAAAGAACATTTCAGTTAAACGGAGGTAAACAATCAGCACTTTCCCGCCTAACAAAAGTTATTAAAAGGCGTAGGTTTTTGTGAGCTCCAGCTAAATATAGAGTTTTAATTGAAACCTTCGATTAAACTAAAGCATCACGTTGAAGTACTAGAGCCGAGGTGGCGCAGTGGTTAGGGTGCAGTACTGCAGGCCACTTCAGCTGACTGTTATCTGCAGTTCAGCGGTTCTAATCTCACCGGCTCAAGGTTGACTCAGCCGTCCATCCTTCCGAGGTGGGTGAAATGAGGACCCAGACTGTGGGGGCGATATGCTGACTCTGTAAACCGCTTAGAGAGGGCTGAAAGCCCTATGAAGCGGTATATAAGTCTAACTGCTATTGCTATTGCTACTCTTCCTTTGAAGAGCTAAGGGTGGGAACAGCCCCACCACTTCCACCTTTAGGATAAAAAGGCGCTTCTGTGTACATCCTATTCCCATTTCTATTGGTGGATCAGACTGAATTGGTCTCCATCAGTGGTAATTAATTACCGGAAGTCAACATGGATCTGTCACGAATTAATCTCGCCATATTTAACCTTCTCTTTTTCATTCCGTAACTTTCTTAATAAATTATGGAAATGGTTTGGCATAATCTATCTTGACTTAACAAGACGCATTAGTTTGTGACAAAGAAAGCCATGACAGATTGATTAGCAAGCTAGTCAAGTGTGGACTGGATGGCATGAAAATTAAGTGGATACGTAGATGGATAGTAAACTGAATACTCAAAGTGTTTATCAATGGCTCATCACACTGGAGAAAAACAGAACTATGTCCCAAAGGTGCTTTTTCATGAGGCAACTGGACTGCCTGGGGTTTTTTTTTGGGAA